CATTGAACTTCTAGGTGGAGTTTTGCACTTTCTGTGGCAGACAGATTTCCAGCACTGCTGTCTGTCTTTCAGTCACTTTCCGTGGTTTCACTGCTGTCAGGAGTTACGGGTTCACCTGTTAAAACACCAAAAAGATACAATATTCATACTGTTACTCTTAGTTCCTGATCTCAGATTTCCTACACTAAATAGCTAGACTTCAGTGAAATCATTTTGATTTCTTTCTTGAGTGGTAGCAGAAAGATTAATTCATTCCTTCAACTTCAGTGGAAATTAAGCTAACTACAGTTCATAATATTTAGTAAAAGTTGCATGCAATCCTACAAAGCTGATTACCAACAGACATATTGCTTTTCTGTTTAGTTCTTCTGTCTTAGCTCTGCTTTTTTTCCTCTCCTTTACTACAGGTCATTGTAAAGTAAATGGCTTCAGGCAGCGGCAGATGACATCTAAAAGCACACTTAGAATTCATTTGGCAAGCTGAAGGGGGACTGACATCTTCCTGCATTAACTGTCAAGAGTGCTGCAGTGCCTGGCACAGGGTCACTGTTTGACTTAAGTAAGGTAATCTACCACACTACCAAAGAGTCTGTGCCCAAGCCCTGCTGTATTATACTTAAAGAATGGTACTTAGGGCAAAGCTTATCTTTAAGAGATGGTCCCACTGCAATAAAAGGTACTTAGGGCAAAGCTTATCTTTAAGAGATGGTCCCACTCCAATAAAAGGTAAGGCAGGTGGGCAGCATCACTTTTACTTAGCATCAATTTAAAGCAAGTTTGCTGTATATCATGTGGTTGGTTTTCTTTCAAACAACAGGCACACATTTGGCTGGTTGTAGGAAGGATATGCAGATGAAAAAAGATCTTTCTCATTATGCCCAGGCCCATGCACTCACTCCCAAGTCCTATAACACTGTTTGAGGATAGTTCACTTCCACTAAAAGGACAGTGCCAAGGTGCATTTTGTCATTCCCATCTTCTCCACTAAAACTGGTCCAAATTCAGTAGTGACTCACACCCTTGCCACACTGATGGTCAGTGGAGAATTTGGCTTATTATGTGTAATAACTAGGCTTCAAACTGAAATCTGCTGTCTCATGAAAGGTGCTTTCACATGGGTGCTCTGGTAATTGTGGGTTGGTTTATGACTTGTGCAAAGTTAGACTTCTGTTTGAGCCTAAAAAGACCATTGAAACATGAATTTTGCAAAGACATATAAGAAAAGAAATTAGGTTACAGTTTGGCCCACCAATTTTGACCCTTTGTCTTCAGATGTTGACATTGTACACAGAACCTCACGTATAAGAGAACAAAGACTATCACTCTCAGCATAACAGAGAGTTTATTTTCAGCCATGAGGAGACTAGGTGCCTAGGTCTTTCCCATTCACATTGGTGATATACAGCGTATATTTCATAGCCATAAGTATCACATCATTTTTTTTCTCTGGGAATACAGGGAACACAAAGGCTCTTCCCCATAATAAGCACAATGCTTGCACCTTTGAAAACATGTTATTTTTGTGCAGTGGACACAGAGGGCAAGACACAGTCTTCAGTTTAAAGTCAGCTGGGGATAGGTTCTTTCATCCTGCTTCACCCCACTCTCCTTGCAGCAAATCTGCCCTGCAAAGACTCTCCATTTTGTCTAACTTAATTCTTCCAAAACCTAGTTGTTAGTAACTGGTCTAGTCACTAATCAAGCCAGACATGTAGAGCTTACCTTCAGTCATGATCAAGGATACTGTGTAGATGGCATCAGTGTGGGTATTGGACACTACACGCTTGTAGTTATCTGTATCATCTCAGGAGAAGCATTCAGATTGGAAAGAAAAAAACAGAGAAAGCAATATGCAAAGGCTCCACATAAACTGGGGCGGTGGGGAGCAGATATGGCAAATGTATTAGTGAATTCCTCTTTTCATTCATGTTTAAATCAGTGTTTTTTTAATCATTAACAGAATTGAAAATCCAGAATCTCTGAAGGCAGAAGTTTGAGGCCAAATCCAATGCTGCCTCCTCCCTAAAGATCCCTCACAGCCTTCCCAGAGTCCCCAAAACAGACAGAAATATTCCACTGACAGTGATTTTGGATCAGGCCCATTTTTGGCCTAAGGCAGCAAAATGAACCCACATTACTTCTCAGAGACATCCTTTTATTCTGGTGCTCTGCATTGAAAGTGATTATCACCCCAGAACTGCATAAGCAACACAGAGACCGGAGGAGGGTGAATGGAAGCTGTTGGACTGTGGAGTACTGGAGGAAAAGAAAAAGAGTTTGACCTGCCCTGGCTGGCAGATTTGTCAACAAAGGACTGCCTGACAGAAGAGATGAATTAGAGTGAACTAAGAATTAAGGAGAGGAGAGAGAAAGGGACAGAGCAAGGAAAGTAAGGAAAGGAACAGACGAAGGGCAGAATTTTTATAGCCACGGGACATCACAAATTAAAAATGGCTGAACGGGGACATGTCTTGAATGTTATGAATTATTAAGATTTAGTGTTGGTTTTGTCTGAATGGCACACAAGAGGCATTAGGGCCTCACTATGATAAACACAAAACCAAGTAACAAAAATAATGGTTCCTGCCCTGATGCTTTTTCTGTTGATCAGAAACACTGCCCTACAAGCACACAACAGTATTTGAAAGTAGCAGGACTGCAGTAGGCTGACAGAAAACGGATATTTTTATTGCTGCTGAGGAATACCACAGTGCGTAAGTTTTTCTTCTTTACAGTTCTCATTGTGGAAATAACAAAAAAAAAATAAATTAGCTAATGGCAAAAAAAAAAAAGGTGTGTTACCTTCGCACATACTTCTTAAAAATACTGTCAAACGCATTCTGGATCCTTCTCCTATTGGTACCCACTCTCACTTTTCCATGTTGCGTTAGGCTTAGGTTTGCTTTTAACTTTAGCTCAGAATATTGATTTGTCTTCTAAAATCCAAGAAGATACACTGGAATTAATGAATGAATGAGTGAAATGGAACAGGGGCCTGTTACCTGTTTGGGTTTATTTTAAATGTATGGTTGCTTTTTTTGTCTGCTTTATGGAGGAGACTAGATTAACGTTGCTTTACTTTACTTACTATACTTATTACAACTTTACATCCATCACAGATACCACTCTGGGAATGAAATTTGTTCAGTAGCAGTACTCTGCACACTGACATGAATGATTTGTGATTTTTTTGGTGATATATAATAAGGACTCTCATGATCTTTTTGTCACTTTAGACAGTCACAGATCTGTCATATGGGAGAGATTATACACTATGGAAAAGCTTATTTACTTATGCGTTAAAGGTCACATTTTTCTAGCCCCAGCCAAATCATTC